ACATATATATGTGTATATATATATGTATGTATATGTATGTGTGTGTGTATGTATGTATGTATGTATAAAGAAACTTAAATAATCCCATGAGAAAATAAAGCCCATCATTCTGTACAAAGAAGGTTCCACACCTTTGAAGAAGAAAGTGTTTCCTTTCTCATCAGGAGTGATGGCATCAAACTCAAGACCTTCACATCGGTCTGGTAGACCCTCTAAACATGGAGATAATTTCTTGTTACCATTATTGCAACTGAAAAACAGAAAATCTGTATCATCAGACAGAATGGCTTGTTTCTGTGAGATTATCTCTGACACGTAGCTGCTATATAACAGACAAGGGGTTATGATTTGATATGCTAATTAAAAACCCACCATGTGCGTGGTCGTCTGCGTGGTCGTCTGTGGGCCTGTGGATGATAAAACAGATGCTTATTTTTCCATCACATTGCATCTCATTTTCAAAAATCCTTGAGTCCTGATGACAGGGACTCAATCACTGACACACTGCCAAGGTGATAAGATGACTTTGCACTCTTGTATTTGTTCAATTGATCCAACTGGTGAACTTTGTGCACGAGCAAATAGAGTTACGACATGCACATCGCCACTGCAGACCAATCGTAAAGAATAAGCCAAAAAAAAAGACCATAGACAGCTCACGAAGGCCGTGATTGTGAAACTAATACATTTTGCACTATTGATGTGAGACCGGGTTGTGACCTCAACTGACATGTTTGAACTGATAAGAGAAAATACCATGAAATGGAGAAACAATTCAAGTCATTTTACAGAAAGTACAACCTCATAATTTGACTCAAACATCTCTTTGAAACAGGAAACCATTCACTGTTGTATTGATTTGCATTATATTAAGTTATATTTGTCATTTTTTTCTAACCCCTGTATTTGTTGATATAATACAAAGCAGAAAAACGAGTAAGAGACTTGAAAAGGAACTGAGCAGCTCCAAACTTCATTCCCTATGACATCACAAGTTTGAGTCTTACTTCTCTGGTTTCTGGCTTTGGGAGAGAGTTCACAAATATTGATTGAACTTTCCAAGGCCATGGAAATAAAATATTGGAATTCTTTATTTAGATGGTGTTCCCCTTTTAAACTGCTGCATACCACATATCAGGGGCAGGTCATTTAGGTTTGTCTTTGTAGCTTAAATCTGCACACACAGAGCTCTTTCTTTACAGGTTGGAAAACTCTTGAAACATGCACATGATGTCAACATGGAAGCATCTTGAGATCAGGATCATAAGTAGCACATCCTGACCCGAATTACCTATTCTGAGTGTTAATTCATCATAACATAAGACTTCAGTAATACTCACACAGGTAGTCCACTGGCGAGGGTAAGTGCTAGGCACAGAAACAGAGTTTTGGAGATCAGCTCCATGGTGTGCAGTCCTGATGAAGTCCTCTGATGTGGAGTCTCAAAGGAGAGAGGCGCTGTGCAGGAGCTGAACCAGCCCTTTTATACTGAAGTGTGTGAGTGGGTGGACAAGTTAGGAAACTGGGTATGTGCGTTTGCATGAGCACATTGTCAAATGACCTTTCTCAGAATCATTTATGATCAAGCATTACAATTAAGTTATTTGAAGATATGATTGTTTCCTAAAAATGTCAGTATTATGTGCAGCACAATCTGTGTTCTATATGCACAACATCTATCTTTAATAAAGCTGATTTAATGTTTGAGAATCTACGTGGACAGAAAGTAAAAGGCGAAGCTTAACTTTGCCTTTGATGTGGATTTCAAATGAAATCATTGATCTGTTTGGATAAGATTTCACCACTTCGAACTGCATCTGTTAACTACACTTTCATCAGAACAGGGCCAGTAAGCCCCCCTTGTTCACTTTTTTATTTGGTGACAGACTTTTCTGGAAATACAGACGTTCTGCGGCAAAAGTTGTCGTCAGAGAAAAACTTAATGCTAATAACCTGCCTTTGAGGTTAAATGTGGTAAGGTGTGGTTGGGCAATAGCAGATCGTGAACAAATCATGCAGAAACAGATTTAAAACCAAGTTTAATTCCTTTTAGCCAGAGAAATTGACAGTACAAAAATCATTACACTACAACTAAACTGTTTTATCTGCTGATTACAGTGAGATTTGATTCTCAAATGTGTCTTGATTATTGATTCATTAAATGTTTTGCAATATGGGCATAAATCACAGTACATTCAGGCACACAGCCTTATGGGCTATTGTGCTTTACTGTAGATTATTCAAGACAAAAATACATCTCAAACACTAAAGGGTCATTTAAGAGCATGCATTCGTACTTATTTGCTACTTGTATCTTCTGTACTGAGTAGATGAAAATAATTTGCACTAATCTGCTACAAAAGACTTGTATCTACTGATTATTATAATGAAAAATGCATAAAGTACCATCACCAATTAAAATCTCATCAAACAAGGTCTTGTCAAATTAAAGCAAGTAGGAGGTAGAGGCTGTAAATTATACTCAAAGAAACTTGCATTATAAATTCCCAAGGATATACTGCCTGCTATTACAGATTTAACCTTCTCACTTCACCAAATCAATTAGTCTTAACTCTATCCATGTTTGTTTCTGTCTCTATCTTTGTCATCCTCTTCACTTATAGCGGTAGATCTTAATGCAATGATTCATGCTGTCTGACACGACCATGTGGCCATCAGGGAGCAGTGCCAGGCCCCTTGGGCTGCTCAGGTTGTCGCTCACCAGAGGCCAGCCAACACCTTTGGATGGGTAGAGAAGAACACGGTGGTGCTGCTTGCCCCAGTCTGCCACCAGGACATCCCCATCACTGTCAATACAGAGACCCCAAGGGCAGGTCAGAACTGGTCCCAGGCCAGAACACACCCCCAGGATTCGGATAGTGTTCCAGCCTGGCTCCAGGACCCGGATGCATGGGACACGTCCAGTCTCATTTCCTCTTTCAGATACTGCCATGAGCCCAGTAGTAAGACATGCTGCCACCAGGTAGGGTCTGTGGTACCCACTCACCACTGTGCGCTCCAATCTGGCCCCAGTTTTGGGGTCTAGCTTGAGGGAAGTTAGGGTGCCACGCTTTATGTCGGCAACCAAGAACTCATCTTGACGGGTAACAGTCACCCCTCTGGGAGCATCCAGCTCCTCGTTGGTGGAACCAATCAGTGTGCCTCCAAATGTTTGGAGGAGGCGTCCATGACGGCTGAACACCAACACAGCCCGTTCAGCAGCACAGGTCAGAGCAATGAGGCCCTTTGAGTTCACAGCCACATCAAAGTAGTTGCAGATGCGGGAAGACCTTTCTGAACCTGAAGGAGACACCTGCTGTACAACATTCTTCTGGAGATCAGTCACCTGAATGCGGGCGTTTCCACAATCCACCACAAATAGTTGCCCTTTGACAGTTGCATGGACACCACTTGGTAGGTTGAAGTCAGTGCGACCAGATCCTTGTTTTCCAAACTGTTTGACCAGATATGCGGAGTCAAGTGCAGCTGAACCACCCTCTTCCTCCAGTTCCCCCAAAGCTGGCACAACTCCCCCTCTCTTGTCTTTGCTGTATTGCTGTGATTCCTTGCATTGGTGTAATTTGTCGCCTTCAATGGCTGACATGGACAGAGATCTGCTCACACGGTTTGAATTTAAACCCTGTGTAACACGAGTCTGAGATCTTAATTGTCGTTCATCAGAACTCATGATGTTCCTGTCAGATTCTGGGCCATTTCCTCGGCCTTGTTCAAGAGTTGAAGGTTCAGAGGCAAGACGCATTCTGTTGACTTTCCTGATTCCTCTACGCTCCCCTTGGTCACCATTGATTAAAGGGCGTTTACCTGTGAGGTCAGCAGTGGACATTGAGCGGCAGTGCTCTTGCTTGAGGGATCCATTATCTGGAGTATTGACAGTATAGGTGTAACAGGAATCCTCACTGTCCACTGGGGATGGAGGGCTTCCACTGTCCATTGAGCATTCAGTTGAGGTCTTTTTCTTGGATAGAGCGTGTTGAGAAAATTGATTATTTCCAGTAGAAAGATCTCCAAGACTGCGCCTGGAGAGTGAACCTTTGTGCCCCGTCTTTAGAGATGTTGCCACATCACTGCTTTTTTCATCAATTTCCTCAGGAGGGCAGGATGGTTCTTCACATGAGACCAAGACAAGAGCCTTTTGCTTCCTCTTACCCTTCAGTGTGGAGCGTCTCTTTGTACCATTTTGTCTACTATCAGATTCATCACCTTCAGATTCTCCTTGACTGGAGACAGGTGGGATAGCAAGAAAAAGATCTTGCCCCTGTGTGTCTGAGCACACTGAATCCACTTCCTCATCTTGAGATGACTCAGATACAGCACGATGTCTTGGTGTGGGGGACTTTACAGTGGGGGATTTGAGATCCTCCTCATTCTCTGTAGAGCTTGACAGACGTAGTTTCCGGACAACGCGCATGTTCCCACTGTTTGCCTTATTGCTCTCCTCTGGACTGTACCTTTGTCCAACTTTGTTGAGTTGTGGTTCCTTTCGAATTTCAAGAGGGGTAATGTTTGAAAATGCTGTATCCCCTGAGTGCAAGGCACACTTTTGTCCTTGGACACCACAGACACCAATTGGGTAGGTCATGCCTTGCTCTCGAACATCAACTTCCCCCAAGCTAAAGGTCTTGGACTCTGGGCTTGGTAAGAAACTGACCCTTTTCATTGTTAGGGAGATCTCCCAAGGTTGGGTGACCTCTGCCACTCCTCTTTGGAGCTGATTTTTGTTGGATCCACCAGCCGTACTGCCCCATCTTTGTATCTGCTCCTTCAGTTGTCCAATTTTTCTAAGTTGCTGGTCAACAAGTGACTGCACAACTCGCACAGCTGCAGCGTTCTCCCTCTTCACCTGACTAAGGTGCCGCTGGGCTTCTCTGTGGTCCTGCTCGACCTTCTCAAGGAGGCGACGCTCCTCTCTCTGAGCTTCAATCGCAGCATTGTCCAACTCACGGTTTATCCCCTCCACTTCGGCCTGCTGTCGTTCCCTGAGGCTCTGCAGTTCTCGTTCTCCTTGCTCCAGGTTGGAAAGGGCCTGAGTCACCCATGGAGGTGGTGAAGTAAGGGACATGGGTGTAAAGATGGACTCCCGTGGGCTGAAGGATAGGGGAGGTGAAGAGGTCATATCTGTCTTTGGAGTACTGTGTGTCAACAGGGCTGAGAACCCAAGAAGAGCTCTTCTCTCTGAATGAGATCGCATTAACATTGTGGATGGTAGATTTGAACTATCCTCTTTTCAAATGGGGTTTCACTTCTCTTTGCTTTTTGAGTATATTTCTGTAAAGAGAAAATCCAAAAAAACAATAATTAAAACCCTTACAACAAAGCATCTCAAAGAATTACAACATATAGTTAGATGCTTTTGTAAAACTCTACAAAAACAGCTTCAGAATTTCAGTTTGGTGGCACCACCCAAGGAGAGTCGGGTGGGGACCCCCTTGATACAATTGTTGGCCCCCCTACTGGCCCCCTCAGTTGAAAATAATTGGAGGCTGATATTACTGTCATTAAGAGGCTGTGATGTGCCCATTTTGAAACAAGCAAAAAGGTTGTGGTACCTTATGGAACTAGACAACTTAAGTCATAAATTTGTATCAACCATGTCGGTATAGCTTGTTGGGTAAGGGGGTGAAATAATGCTCCAAAGTTAGGCTAAATTTTGGTATGGGAACAACTGACAAAGGGGTCCATTGAAATCTCACCTCAAAATATCTCTATGGGTATCAACAAATCTCCCCTACATTTAAGAAGGCCTGTTCCCCTTCTATTTTTTGTTCCATACTGTCAATGTACTGTCAAATTAAAGTGGTATCGGCGTCATAAAATTCCTAAAATTCAGTAATGGCTTTTGGTTTTGATGTGTCACCCCAAGATTTTCTGCGCCCCCCCCTGTGAAATTTATGGGGCCGCCACTGGTCAAGACGTCCAGCTTTGGAAAAAAAAAAAAGTTGCCCTGCACTACATCTACAACATTCATCCTGTAATGTTTTCTTAATTCACTTCTCAGTCCTTTGGGAAATCTATTTGACCTACCTGTTGACTTAGGTGTATCACATAAACCCTGCGAGGACTTGTGCACATTTCTTGCACTGTTTTAAAACTGGGACACAGGTTCCCTTTCATTGCAACTTTATCTGTCCCACACAATATTCAGTTTCTCACAAGACTCTAAAGTGCTCTCAGGTAACCACTGTCCTGTTTCCCTGAGGTCAGCATTGTATTCAAACTTCTACTCTGTTGGCAGCTGCTGATTACTACAACAATAACTGTCCCAAATTGGATGGTAATCAACAGTTGAAGCACATCTAATGTTAATCTATATTTGCCTTGAATTACCAGTTATCATTTAGTCACTATTCATAGCTATTTTTGACATTTTAAGATCATGGAATGGTCATTGTATGCCAAGGTGAGGCAGTGAGGCTTATGAATCTTCTTTTCCAAGTCACTTCTCTTAATGTCACTCATCGTGAAACTTCAACAGTCTTGAATTGTGGCTTCCGAATGCAGCACAAGACCCTCATTGTCACTTCTGGTGGAAACAGCAGGGCTTATCTGCTCAAGGCATTGAAACTGAAGTCTGTCTTTCACCACCAGCATGAGGTATGTGAAACACTGCCAGGAAGGGGGTCAGTTCTTTCTTTCTTTTTTTATGATCACGCAAAATGTATCATATTCTGAGTTGGTGATTGTTGGGTACCAGTGTGTATATGTTAACAGTGTAGACCTACTTAGAGAGCCTTTTACCCCCTGTAGCAAAACAACAAGGCTTTTGCAAGGATGAAAGGGTGAGGTGTCAGTTTACCTTTGCATGTTCACAATAAAGTCCCCCTGGAAACATGTGACCTGAGAGTGTCAATGGATAAAATCTGTTTCCCATGTTTTAGAAACCATGTTTAAGATGTTATCTGCTGGTGACTTTTGCTCTATCCTCCTCAGATAATTTGACCTTAAACAGAACTTAAAAGGAGGAATCACAGAAAACATAATCTTGAGTACAATCTCAATGTCAAAACTACTCTTAATACACTCACAGGTCAACAGGTAAAGAGTCATCAATCTGTTTGTTGGAATGAGGGAAAATGTAGGTTATGTGACAGTAACAAATCCCTGTCACTCTCCTGGAGTGAGGCCACTGGGTCTTCTCATGTTACCCCACTTTAATGTTGAATGAGAGGCACTCGTTGCTAAGTTACTGGACGGCCTTCGCTGAGGTGCTGAGACTATAGAATAAATGATACCATTCATAATTGAGAGGATTATGCAGGATGTTCAGGAGCATTCCAGCGTATCGAAACTAAACAATGGAGCCATTCACCACAAGTTACGCAGCATATTGCTCACAGGTAAAGGCCTCTTTGAAATTTATACTTCAAGCAGTTAAAACAAAGAAATCTGCAGGCAGCAAACTGCCCCGAACAAAAGGCTTTTTATTTTGAAATTCCGTTCTGAGTACAAAAGCATAACACAAGTTTTTATTCAGATTTTAAGATGCAATATGTAACAGAAAAATATAAGATTACAGCATAAAAATATCATTTTAAAAACAAAGTTAAAAGTGTCTTACCTGAACTTCAGGCGTGTGCGTCTTCCTCTGCTGCTCTCTCTGCTCTGTCCTGCAGCCTCCAGTTCTTTCTCCCTCCACCTCTCTCCGTCACTCCCCCATCTCACACCTTCCCTCCCTCTTTCTTTTCATTGCATTCTGCACAGGTTTATGTTCCAATATGACTTTGTGTGCACAGATGAACAAATTAATATTTGACCTGTACGTGAAAAATGAACACTTTGGGTGGTACACAACTGAACAGTTGCACATAGATGTAAACAACCTTTAAATAGTATCAGAAAATATTTATCGTGTAGATTTAGCTGTCTAATGCAAACATGAATCAGTTTTGGTAGTGATAGCAGGTTCAGAAGGTTAAAGTCTTGAGTATAATGTGAGATTTAATTTAAGTCGAGTGATATCTGTTGATCCAGCTTTGTAGCCAGGACCACCTAAACCAACACAAAGTCATGACAAAGACGAAAGTGTGCCAAGACCAAGACTTGGAGGGGTTCAGACCGAGTCAAGACCAAGACCAGACTAGTTTGAGTCCCACACTACATGACAATTATGATAAAATGTGGAACATGTAACCCATAGGCACTCCTCAAACTGATCTAAAAGATCCACATCCCCATAAAAACACCCACAGAAAATAAATGCAGATTCCCCGTCAATCACCTCTCTTATCCCCATAATGTATATATGTGTGTATCTATAAGTTTATCATGAGAAATGTCTTGATAAAATAATCAAAAAGCATTGCAGAGGTTTTTTGCGAAGGCTTTTCGGTGATAGCCTGCAGATGTGGTCTCGACTGGTCTTGAAATCCAGATTTATCTTTGTCTGAGGCCAAGACAAAAAACCATTGTTGAGTCCGAGATGTGACCTTCAAATGTGGTCTTGAGACAGATCTCAAATACTACAACACTGTGGTTGTAAAAGCAGGTTGATGTTGTTCATTTTGGGGCATTACAAAAATGTATTTCCATCCAAAAATGAAAAGTAATACTGGAAAAACGCCAAACCTTTACAAACATTATCTTTTATATTTTGGAGAAATGCAAATCTGAAATGATCTTCTCTAGATTCTCTCTCTAGATTTACAGTCTAAAGCCACATAAGTAATAACTACCATCAGATTTACAATGAATGAACTTGAATTTATTGATTTATTGTGAGGCAGACACTTGTTGTCCACATTTGTTTTACTGACAGATTGGTTCAGATTAACTAATTAAATTCACGTTTCACTATTTGACCACTAGATGTCAGCAAACACAAAGCTTCAAACAGACTGACCTGCACAGTGTTTGCACTGTGTTCTCTCCAATCAAATATGCTTTAAATAAGAAATTATACATGTCAGTAAAATCTAATGAATCTTCTTAGTTATAACAGTCCAATCTGACTAATTCACTCTAAAGCAGGCCTTCGTGAAGGGCAATCATATGGCATCGTCGTCCATCTGCACAAAGGCAGAAGTGCTGCAAAGTCCTCTAAAAAAATCAAAATCTAAATTAATGAAAGAAAATACTTCTTAAATTTAAGTATTATCATATGAAGGTACTTTAACTTGTTATTTTCACATTGAATAAGATGTTGCAGATGGCTGACTTGCCTGCATTGTGGGTGGTGTTCTCTCAGCTGTAGTTTTATATCCGCAGTCTATTGCAGGTCTGCACAGGACAATCACAACAGATTTGTTTAACAAGGTATAGACTCAACAAGAGAATCACACAGATTTACCTTCATATGTTTGCTTGTATTATTCCATATTCACACTGAGTTTAAAATCTGTGCAGCGAGGATGCTTCGGAAAAGAATAAAATTCCTTGATTTGTGTTCTGTTATCAGGCTGCTCTTCATTTTTTGGGCTACATTTCATCCCCTTTTGCATCTCATGCAGGCGCTAAAGGGTGCATTGTGCATCCCTATCTGACACTGAGGGCCATTGACCAAGCTGACACCCTGGGAGTGAGACTTTTAGAACCAAGCTTTAAGTAAAAATGTTGATTAGGACTGACAAGACTTTTAGATGGCACAGAACTTGTTGTTTATAACTCATATAACACAACATAAAGGCCACTGATCACATGGGTATCTACTGTATAAGCCTTTAAGCAGTGTAACAAATTTCCTCTTCTTATAGGATCCAACATCTTCTCACCAATTATCCTCACACACACAAACACACACACAGACACACACACTGAGCGTTGCCCCCTGGACACAGATGGGTCCTGAGCCATCACTGTTGCTGGATGTCACACGAGGTCCTACAGGCTGCCTGGCTGGTGTTGTGACTGATTATTTCTATCTTCTGCTCTGTCAGGAGAGACAGAAAATTATATCGGCCTAAGGTGGTGCTCCGTTATTGATATCACTGTTAAAACTCTCCAATCCAGCTGCTCGCCTCGCCTGCAACATCACTGCAATTAAATCTACACGGCTTCCAGCCTGTGTGCGTGGCAGAGAGTAATGGGCCCAATAGTTACTGTAACAAAACAATAATGTGATTCAGCATGGCAGCATAACAACCACATATATATAAATATCAGTGCAATATATGACAGGGAAGTTAATGGGGTATTATTAACACTCCCAAGCAAATGGTAGCATCACAGCAGAGCAGGTACTAAGTGGACTTGTTGCCAACAAACAATTAAAAAACAAGTCTGCAAGCTTTTCACAGATGGAATTAGAAAAGCGGTCAAGAAAGTCATATTGCACTCTTCTCTCCTACTTTGCATACAGCAGGCAATATTAGGTGATGAATATGGTAATGGTCCTCGTTCTAGTGGGACTATCTCCTTTCAGAGGGGAAGATCTGGTTCTGCTGTTAGATTCGATTAATTCCTCTTCATGCCACTCCTCATTTTTGTGTCCCCCTCCTCCGCTCCCCCTTCCTCTCTAACACTTTCAGGCCTATGATATTAGACGAACAATCGCAGAAACAAAACGAGCTGGAACAACCAAGATGGGAACAGATGGCACGTAATTGCCTGGTGGAGGAAGCCAGGGAGTCAATTTTTACCCGTCCTGGGGGAGTTGCAGTTGCAAGAAGGGAGGAAAAAAAGTGCAGGTGCATTTGTTTTGATCAGATATGGCCTAAAGGAAGCATCTGAGAAATATTCATCACACACACATTAGGGAGAGGAAACTAACAAAAGTGTTGTGGGTGAGACCCGGGATGCGATGGCGAGCTTTCGTCAGGGTGAGGAGGTAGATTTGTGGCTGAGTCAACGGCAGCAGATGCATCGCAAATTAATATCACACTGAAGTGTTGCAAAAACTGTAAAACTTTCAGATGGTAGCAGTCTGTCCTAACATTTGCCAACCTAATTTTAGGGCTTTGTGATAAAGTGGCACTATGAACAATGAGAATACTGTGGAGTAAATGATATAATAATAATAATAATAAACTGGTTAGTATCTGCTATTCCTCCAAGAAACAATAAGTACAGTTTTTTTTTCATGTTTCCAAAATGTCTTATTTTACAGTCTTCCAACAAACAATCTTTTTAAATACTCACAAATCAGATACAGTGGAAACATCTTAAGAAATTCCCAGGGAGTCTCCTCTGAACACACAAATACTCAACAGTCTACATACTATAACTGAATGCCTAATGTGCTCCAGATATTCTGACTTCATCAATAACAGGCCCATGCTTGTTATTTGAAAAATATATAAAACATAGATGGGAGCTGGATAAGCACAAACCTTTAAATATGCACCAATCACAAATTTATTTAATTCAGTATTATTGCTACACACCTTCTGAGTTACACAGATCCAACAATAACAGGCCTAAATCTCACCTGTGTGCCACAAAAAGTAAAACTACAAATTCTCATTTTTGACAATTTATTTTGCAATGCCCAGTTTGCAAAACATTGCTTTTAATAACTGCTGATATTACAAAATCTAATAGTCCATATACTTATGATATATAAAGGCATATCTCCAACTGCAGCCCACCTCAGAGAGGATTGTTTTTTTTCAGGCCTTTGCTTTGCCAGTGCTTTATGCTAAAGGTTAAACATGCTCACAGTGACAATGTTATTGTGCTTCTGTGCAGGAACAGCATCAAGCTTTGAAGCCAATTTTCATCAAGGTCAAATAGTGGAATTATCACTTCTTAGTCTAGTATGTGATGCCACTGGGCCCAAGAAGACCTTTTTTCATAGACTTTTTTATTTTATTTTTTAGATACTTTTATTAATCCCCCTGAGGGGAAATTCAATTTTTTCACTCTTTTTGTCATCAGGTCCGAAAGACACACACATGCACAAACAGGACCTATACATGCACAAAGTGGAGAGAAGTCAGAGTGAGGGGGCTGCCTTGGTCGGGTGCCCCGAGCGGTTGGGGGGTTCGGTGCCCACCCCGGTAGTGCCCAGGAGGTCACCAGCCACCAGTCCACGCTCCATATTTGGTTCGGATGGGGACTTGAGCAGGCGACCCTCCGGTTCCCAACCCAAGTCCCTGTGGACTGAGCTACTGACGTCGACTTACAGGTTTATAGAGCATCACCACCTGATCCCTTTGGTCCAATAACATTTCAAAAGTTTTTTTATTTTTATAATTTTATCCCCATTCAAGTTATTGAAGGGCTAAATTGTGCCATGAAAGTCTGTAGTGCGATTGCTCAGTGGGCCCAATAATGCGGAAGATGCGACAAATTTTTCACCCGGGAAGTCAAACTCTTGCTTCATGTGCCACCGGGCATCTTTCATTGGAATGAATGGGGCCCTACCTCAAACGCTGTGTCCAGTTCTCTTTATACATCCATGTATTTACCGTGTTTGCCACCATAGTTTAGCTTGTAAGCATGTTAACATGTGCTAATAAGTACCATACAAAGTTGTTTTTGCCCTCACTGCCATAAGATTTAGAATTGCACATAAGACATTAATTTTTTCCTCATCTACTAACTTGTAATGCAATATTTTCATATTTTGGGACACAGAAAGACTGATATCCATCTCATATACGTCCAGCAGCTGGTTGGTCCAGCTTAGCATAAAGACTAGACAGAGGGGGTAACAGC